CCTGACTGAGGAGCAAGAGAATGACAGGACACAGCAGCACCCAGCCAAGCCCGGAGCCAGGCAATGGACGCCCAGCTTGGGGGCTGGGGAGGCAGGAGCTGGGGAGCATCTGCCCCCAGAGCCGCCTTGGAGAGAGAAGGGCTGAGGGTGTGCAAGGAGCAGAGGGGAGGGGTGCGGGTCGGTCCTGAAACCCTCACTTCAGCCCCTTCCCTGACCGAAGACCAGATCCCAGCCCACTCCTCCTGGGTGGGCATCACCAGGTCTGGGTTCCGGGGAAGGGTTCGCAAAGACCGCCCACCTCCTGGGGACCACAGTGGTCCCACCAGTGACACATCTGTTGAGCCTTCACTAAGTGAGGGGCAAAATGCTCCACTCCAAGGGGGCTGCCAACCTGAAGCCAGGCCTGGGTCAGCCTGGAGCCCAGCCGTGATCAGAACCGTCGCGGCGCCCCTCTGGCCTGCATGTAAGTGGGGATAGACTGGGCCTGCCACTCCAGTACACAGGCCTAGGAGCCCCTACCCCTGCCTGTGCTCTGAGAGATGCCCCCCACCCCCCGCCTCCACCCTGCCCACCCAGCTCCCCCTCTCCACCACAGACAGCTCTGCAGTATCTTCTGTGTCCTGGAAAACGCCCCCCAGCCAGCTTCCTGTCCTCTGCCCAGCCTCCCAGTGCTCACCCCATCTATTATTCACAGCACAAAATGGATTTTTAATTTGAGAAATGAAATGACTCTCCCAAGTGGCCGGGGTGGCGGGGAGGGGGCGGGGGAAGGCCAGAGCCTCTAGACGGCCACCACGGTGCTGACTCAGACTCTTGTGGGAAAGCTGGGCGCCCACAGCAGACCTGGGGGACCCCAGAGGCCCACATGACCCATCACCCAGCTGCTACCTTCATTCGGCCCTGTCGCAGTGACTCCATGGTGTGAGGGGGTGCCTATCTTTCCTGCCTGAGCTCCCAGTCGGGTATGCTTTTGGCCAGAGAGGGGGGTAGGGAGGGCTGGACCTGCACCCCACTTATTTCAGATGTTTGGACCTCAAGGGTAGCACTTGGGCTTTTTGGCCTGGTGTAGCTCCTCCCCAAACCGCCTGGCCCTCACTAAGCTGGGCTCAAGAATCACCCCCATGCAGACCCCTAGCTGAGCTTCTCTGCTAGGTCCCAACACCATGGCATGCCCACTCCAACCTGGACAGCTGCCCAGCCTCCCCACGGGCCGCGGGCTCCCGGTGGCCCTCCTCACCTCTCACGATAGAACTCACATACCTAGTGTGCCCACGAGGCAGTGACCTCTTCCCACCCTTCTCTGCCCTTCCTGCTCTGTCTCCCCACCTCCACCCTCTCTCTTTTTCTGGTCACTCTGACCTAGTTTCATTTCCTGGAACTTAGCTGCCTCTCATGCACCTCAGGGCCTTAGCACTTGCTGTCCTGCTACTGAAACACCCTTCTCCCGTCACCTCTTCCGTTAGCCAATTGCCGCTCATCTTCTTGGGATGTCAGCCTCCCTTGTCTGGTTGGGTGCTATGTCTGCAGGCTGGGGGCCCCCACCTACAAACCTGCCCAGGCTCTCAGAGCCTCCACATGCTTCTCCTTGGCCCTGGGACCCATCAGATGACAAGAGGGGGCCGCTCCTTCCCCCCCCCCCACACACACCCGATGCTCCCTTCACCTGTTCTCCCACTACCTGGTCTGTCCCACGATGCACAGACTCTTCTCTGGGGTCACCTACCAACCTCTGGATCTGTTTTTTCCTTTTCTTAAAAGAAATGTATAAGGGGCGCCTGGGTGGCGCAGTCGGTTGAGCGTCCGACTTCAGCCAGGTCACGATCTCGCGGTCCGTGGGTTCGAGCCCCGCGTCAGGCTCTGGGCTGATGGCTCAGAGCCTGGAGCCTGTTTCCGATTCTGTGTCTCCCTCTCTCTCTCTGCCCCTCCCCTGTTCACGCTCTGTCTCTCTCTGTCCCAAAAATAAATAAACGTTGAAAAAAAAAAAAAAAAAGAAATGTATAAGTACATTCTTGTTTTAAAAGACTTGAACTACACAAATGGGCAGAAGGCAAATGTGAAATCCCTCCTCCATACCTGTCGCCCTCCCAGGCCTCCCCCACATAAGCCCCTCATTTCAGCCTCCAGGCCCTCCTGGGCATCACTCTATTTCTTTAAATGAATGGGACACCGCAGATGTGAGGGTTAGCACCCTGCACCCACTGGCCCGCAGCACCACTTCCCACCCAGCCGTCCTCAGGGTCACATCCCCAACGGAAGGACGCAGGTTGTCTAGGACGCACAACCCGTCTGGTCATCAGAGACTGAGGCCTTCCATGGCTCCCGGCCTCTCACCCACCCCCTGGGCCCACCCTGCCCCGGCTCCAGCTCCTCTCCGTCACCAGAAGGCTGTCCCAGCTGGTGGCATGGCTCCCCACTCAGCCTCCAGCCATAGGTCCTCCCAGCACCTGCCTGCCCCAGGGGCTCACTGTGCTCCAAGACGAGCTCATCTTTAATTTCTCCTCCTCCCCCTCCGCATTCTGTGCATCAGGGACGGTCCGTCTCAGCCTCGGAAAGCCTCCTTACTTCTTCCTCTCCTTCCCATCCAACCTGTCTCAGTTCTAGTCCTCAGCTCTCCTGTCCTTGCTGGAGGAAAGTGGCGTCTCCCTTCTGCTTGCTCACCAGGTGCTGCTCTGTCCTGCCCATTCCCGCCCCACACCCTCTGTGACCCCTCGTTGCGGTTTCCGAGGCCTCCTCGGTCTGGCCTCAGACCCCCTTCCAGCCTCCTGGCTCATGCTCCCCTAAATGTCCCTCCTTTCCAAGGGATTGAACCCCCACTTCTGTGCCTTTGTTCTAGCCATCCCCTCAGCCTGAATACCCCATCCCCAGCCCTCCTGTCCTTCATCAGTCCCCTCTTCAGGATCCCCTGATAGTCCCCCTGGCTGGGCAGGTCCCTACCTGAAGGAGCCTGCCCGAGAGTCTCTCCTTGCCGGAGAGGTCTGTGCCCCTATGTGCCCAGCCCAGAACCTGGGGCATGGACTGGGCTGGATGGAGCAGGCCCATGCCCCAATCCACAGGGAGGTCCTAGCCAGGCCCTATGCCCAGCCCCACTGCATCCCTGTGAGCCCCTCTGTCTCCTTCCCTCCACAGCTCTGTTCTCCTACATGGGACAGTTAGTGGCCTCGGCCACTCCCAGTGCTGTGGCTGGAACCCCCATAATAAAATACGTGGAACCCTCCTAAGTGCCAAGCTCTGTGCCAAGCATTCCACCTGCTTTACCACACTGAGTCTTAGAAACCCCCTGGGGGCCCCGTCACTGACCCCGGTGCACACACAGGAAAATGAAAAGCAGACACGGAGAGAAAGGTGCTCCAGTTCACCCAGCTCACAGCCCTGAAGTTGACCTTTGAACCCATCTGCTGCATTCAGTATGTTGGGGGCACGCACACTACCAGCTGGGAGATGAAGGGACAGGCAGGGCACTTAGAACCCGAGTGAAGGCCCAGCTGTGATCTCAGCCCAGGAACTGTGCTGGGTGGGAGGTGCTGAATCCAGGGGACCAGGCAGGTGCCAAGGTGGCTTTGGCCAGAGACCTCAGGAAGAAACTCAGGGCCTGCAGCCAGGCCCTTGGCCTCCCTTCCAGATGTCCCCACCTTCAAGGGCTCTTCCTGGATGTCCCTGTCTGAAGCACCCAGTTGTTTTCTCTCTGTTGCCCTGGGTACATCTTGTACAGCATTTGTCCCCACCTGACATTATCTATGACTTGGCATTCTCATGGTCTCTCTTCCTTAGCTGTGGGGACCCTGGATTTTTCCCATCACCTTGTCCTTGCCCGAGTGTCAAGACCTTGACCACAATGCAGTTGGGGGGGGAAGCCAGATTGACAGAGTCAAAGCAGAGTGGTGGCAGCGGGGGGCAGGGAGGAAAGGGAGTAGAGAGTCTGAGGCCTGTGGGTCTCTGGTTCTGACAACCAGGCCCCTTGGGTTTACTGTTTGATGGACAGGCCATGACAGGGAGCTGGTCTCCTACTACAAGATGCAAATAGGGGGCCTGGGTGGCTCAGTCAGTTAGGCGTCCCACTCTTGATTTCAGTTCAGGTCATGATCTCAGTTTGTGGGTTCGAGCCCTGCCTCAGGCTCTGTGCTGTCAGTGCAGAGCCTGCTTAGGATTCTCTCTCTCTCTCTCTCTCTCCCTCTTTCTCTGTCCCTCACCTGTACTCTCTCTCTCTTTCTCTTTCTCTCTCAAAATAAATAAACTAAAAAAAAAAAAAAAAAAAAAAAAAAAAAAAAAAGCAAATAAAGCCACAAGTGTTTGGGGCATATAGGAAGGTAGGCCCCAGAGCCTGGGGTACTTCCTGTCGGGATTGCCAAGGGCCCATCGCCTGGGACTGCGAGAAGGGGGGTGGGCTGGAGCTGGGCAGAGCCCAGAAAAGCCAGCAGGACCTGAAGGACCTCTTCCTTGCTTCACAGGGTCACTGGGCCGAGCTCCCCTCCCCCAGCACTCCATCATCATTTCAAGTGATTGGAACCGAAGGGGATCGTTAGCTAATTAAAGCCGAGGCCACTAATTGCCCCTTGTAGGAGAGCAGGGCTGTGGAGGGAAGGAGACAGAGGGGCTCAGAGGGACGCAGGGGGGCCGGGCATAGGGCCTGGCTAGGACCTCCCTGCAGACTGTGTTTTGGAGGGGGGCCCTGTCACAGACTCCCTGAAATGGAATTGTGGGATAGAGGACAAGAGTGCCCGAATCAGAGTTCCCATTGAACACCCGCGTGTCATGGGGAACATCCATGCCCACCTCTACCCACAGCCAGCCACCCAGAGTTGTGGGCTGAGGTGGTGAGTGGCACAAAGCCCCCACAGACATCCCATGGATGCAGCGACAGGCCAGATCTGAGGACAGCCAGCAGAAGACCAGGGGCCCCAGCCCCACACTGGCCCCCCAAGCAGGAAGCCTGGCTGCCAATCTCTGCCTCCCCGCCTCCCCTCGCAGAGATGCCAGCTGCTGGTATACATCCACACGTTCGACAGTACCAGCCTCACCTGGGGCTGCCCAGAGCCCAGCACCAAGCTCCCCCCCACCCCACCCCCACCCCAGCAGGATGTTCCAGGACCTTCCATAGAAACTACCAAAGATGGTTATTCGTTTTCCATTGCCGTGTAACAAACTTCCACAAACGTAGCAACTTAAAACAGCAAATTTATGATCTCAGGTTGTGTCGATCAGAAGTCCAGGCTCCACGAGGCTGGGTTCTCCGCTCGGGGCCTCACTGGGCTGAAGTCGGGGTTGGTGGGGGCTGAGGCTTCTCTTCCAAACTCACTGGGGGAGCCAGAATCGGCATAGAATGAAGGCATCCCTTCCTTAGTGGCTATTAACTGGGGGCTGTTCTCAGCGACTAGAACTCAGCTGCACCCCTTGCCTTGTGGCCCCTCCACCTCCAAAGTCATCAGTGGACAGTCTCCTTGGCCCTGAATCCTTGTCATGCTTCGAATCTGTCTTCCTCACCTCCACCAGCCAGAGAAACTCCTTTAAAGGGCCTGAGTAATGAGGTTAGAGTTAAGTTCAACTAATTCGGAATCTTAGTAACAACTGCAAAATCCCTTCATAACAGTACCTGGATTTGTGTTGAACGATGGGGAAAGTGTGCACATACACTAGGGGCCAGGAAAACCGGGGGGCATCTTAGAATTCTGCCTCCCACAAAGGAGCAAAGAGCAAAGGTAAAAAAAATTTGTCCTGTTTAATCCTCACAGCAATTCTGGGCGTAGATGCTACTATATCTCCATTTTACAGAGGCAGAACCTGAGGCCCTGAAGTTAGGTGACAGTCGCAAAGTCACACAGCTGGTAAGTGGCCAAGCTAGTATACTAGGGTAACACAAGGTCTGATCCAGGCCTTACCGTGTGTTCTTGGGAAAGTGGATAACTTTCGTTTTCTCGTGAAACGAAAGGTTCTGAGGCCCATTCCCCACCAACCAGGAAGCCAGATTCCAAGGCCCACAGGGGATCAGGGGGCTCAGGCCCGGCCCCTCCTCAGCCAATGGGCAGGAGGTGTGCCTGATGGGCACTCGTGGTAACCAATGAGATGAGGCGGGGCTGGGGTCTCTGATGTCAGCCATCTAATTGCGGCCATTCTGGCTTCTGCAACCCAAAGACATAATATTACCCGGCACGGAGACTTATGGTTGCCAGGGGGCCCCTGACAGCCACAGGAACCCCAAGATTAATGGCCAGGAAATTGCTGTTCACCCGAGCGGGTTGGGCCCCTTAGAGCACAGAATAGGGGCTTTCAGACCTTTGCCCAGGGGTGAGGGTGTGTGTTGGGGGGTGCCTCTCCCACCTCTAAACTCGGGCTCGTCCCTCTCAGGGGCAGGCTCCCCCCTCTCAGGGGCAGGCTCCCGTGGGCTACAGCTCTGGAGGGGGAAGGGACCGCAGAGGCGGCTGTGGCAGCCCTCTCCCCCTCCCCATGAGGAGGACTATCAGTCAGCCTTGGCGCAGCCCCCCCCCCATCAGCCTCCCCCGCCCCCCGCCCCCGCCCCCATGCTTGAGCGGCCTCCCTCAGTAATGGGGCTTAATCATAACATGCATTAGCTAGGGCCTGCTGCCTGCAATTACCTCTTCAATCAGCCACCCACCACCACCGCCCCCAGCCTCAGGCCACCTGTGGGGACACACCCCTCCCCAGCCCTCCCCGGCCCCCTCCCCAAATGCAGCACAGGGGCTGCAGGCTGTTCCCACGGACCAAGAAGTGACCCCTCCGGCCGCAGTGGTCTGGGAAGGGGGAGGCCAGTGGACAGAGAGCTTCAGCTCAGGGTCACAGGCAATTATTTTAAAAGCCTGTTGAAAACTGTGCCGGTTCCCAGTGCAGAGGGCTCATCCTGAGGGTTGCGCTGCCCCAGGTTGAGGACACGCTTGCATGCACACCCAAGTGGTCACACACACACACACACACACACACACACAGATGGGCATGTACCAGGGCACATGTGGACCCTGAAGATATGGGTACTGGCTGTCTCCAAGGTGCAGACGCACAGGGAGGCCCCACCTGAGTGACCAGCCCTCGGCCATCGGGGTGCTTCCCTGCACAGCTCCCCTCTGCCCTGTCCCTAGCACAGACCCACTCATGTCCCATGGCTCCCCATCCCCAGACCTGGGGCACAGGGGCCCTGAGCTGAATCAGAGGACTTCCTATGCCTTCCTGCCTCAGAGCCGGGGTGGCGGCTGGAGAAAAGGGGGAGAAAGACCTGGCAGGGACAGTGGAGGAGGGGACTGCTGTTGTGCGGTGATTCTCTCTAATTGCTGTTTTGCTGAGAGGTAATTAAAATCCCTTTTTATTTCACACGTCAGAGCCCTCACCAGCCTGTGGAGAGGGCGCAGGGGGAGGCCAGGAGGTGGGGGCAATAGAGGGCCGGGCTGCCTGGCACAGGGAGGGGACGGGGAGGTGGCCCTTCTGAGCCCAGGCGGCCAGCCCAGCCCACCTGCCAAGAGGCCCCATGGCGGGAGTCCCCAACCCAGCCCCTCCCCCAGCGGTGAGCACCTGGGGTCTAGTGCTGGCCAGGATCTGCGCGGCCCGCTGCAGCCAAAGAGGCCATCAGAATGAAGTCAGTGGCATCTCCAGAGTGCCTCCTACATGCCGGGCATTTTGCTGAGCTGCCAACTTGCAGAAGTGTTGCAAAAATCACTACTCGGTGGATACCACTGTCATCCCATGTGTATGAAGCGGAGACTCAGATCAAGAAACAGCAAGACCCCCGGCCTGTAGGTGCTGGAACTGGATTTGAACTGGTCTGACCCCAAACTCAGAAGCACTGTGTCAACCCACCCACTCCAGCCCACACAACTGTCCCTTCCTACAGAGCCCACCTTGTTCCACGGCCCTGCCCTGCCCCTCCTCAGAGCCCTTGCCCAGGCCCATGCACCTGTACCTTGCCTGCCACTCTGGACTCCACGGTCCCCTGCTGACAGGTCCTCTGGGGCAGGAGAGCCGGGGTTTGCCCTGTCCCTCAGGACCTGTGGACATGCTCCAGATGCCTGGCAGGGCCAAGAGGCCGTGGCCAGACCAGAGCCGAGCCCAGTGCCCAGCCAGAGTCAGGGCGGAAAGGAGCAAGGCCCCCGCCTTCCCCTGAGCTGGCCGGGGACATGGGTGGGGCAGGTGAAAGCACCCCTCCGCACTGGACCCCCTTTCTCTCTCCTGTTCTTCCCCTTCCCTTGGACCTGGAGTTGCATCACCCTGTCCTTTTCATCCTCCCCTTCTCCACCCCACCCACACCACCATCACCACCCACCATCATCGCCATCAGCATCGCCATCATCAACGTCTCTGTCATCATCACCATCGTCATCATCAAGTACTTGCCACTCTGCCTGATGTGTGTGGGGAGTGGGGGTGGGGGACGTTGGGGACTGCAGAGGAAGGACCAAAGGGGTCCTGAGACCCACTAGCAGTTACCTCAGCCTCTCAAGGGCAGGCATGGAGACCCCTGTTGTCCATGTAGCTCAGCGCAATGACATATCTATACACAACTAGATGCAGAAAGGGAGGGAGGGCAGAGGCACAGATTAGGGGGACTTTCTTGGGTCTGCAGAGCGAGGCGGGGTGATCTCTACTGCGTGGAGCAGCCAGGCCTGGGGGTACGGAAGGGTCTTTTCATCTTGTATCCCCAGTGCACAGTGCTGGCATTAGGAGGTACTTAACGTTTAAGGATGAAAGAATGAATGAAAACATTTTCAGGATTAAAACTGTCCCTTAATAGGACATGACACCCAGTGAGGTAGCCCCCCATCACTAGAGCAATAGGATTAAAACCTCAGGCTCTGGTGTCAGACTAATCTGGATTAAAAGCCAGAGCTACCATTTCCTAGCTGTGCACAGGTCACTGGGCCTCTTTAAGCCTCAGTTTCCTTACCCAAAAGTGGAGCCAAGTATCTGTCTGAGACCCTGAACAAGGAGGTCAGGGGAGAGCCTGGTCCCATGACCAAGCCCCCAGCCTGGAGAGTGGCTCAGGTGGGCAGCTCCTGTCTAAGCACCCCCAGGAGGGAAGGCGAGGGCCAGCCAGAGGCTCTGAACCTCTCTCTCCCCCATCCTCTTCCAGGCATCCAGTGACCTCCTCCCCACACCTCATTTCTCTCCACCGAGGAGCAGCTGGGCATAGCTGATCCCAACAAGACCAACTTCCCGGCCCGCTGCCCAGTGCGGTGAGACACCCCCTTGGGACAGGGCCAGGAGATGGGACAGAGGGCAGAGACTTCAGGAGCAAGGCTCCTGAGGTATCTGGGGGTCACTGGGACACCCAGGATGGGGGCTCCATGGAGGCCAGTGGAATTTCACGCCAGACATAGGTCCTCTCCCTGATACACACTGAGCCACCTTGCCCCAGCCCTTTTTGTCTCTGAGCCTCATTTTCCTCATCTGTAACATGGGAATATTTACAGGACCGACCTCTCAGGTATGTTGTGATGTTGTGAAAGCCCCCAGCAGTAAGTCTGGCATAGACTAGGGCCATACACACGCGCGCACACACGCGCGCACACACACACTGGCGGCTGACCATTCCCTGGGCGTTGCTGGCGTCTCTGGGGAGCGCTGGAGCCCCCTCCCTCCAGCCCTCTTGGCACATCTGTGGCAGGCAGTACACACGGCTCCCCGCTCCTGTCAATGTTCCCTGCCGGCTAATGGGCCAATTTTTTAGCATTACGGAGATTTGGCCAATTTGGCAGCCCTGAAAGAGGCGCAGAGAGTGAACCGTTGCCTGGGGGCGGGGCGGGGTGTGGAAGCAAGGAGGGCAGAGGAGAGGGCCTTGGGAAGGGGAAGGGGCTGCGGGCAGCCCACTTCTCAGTGGGCTCCCCGCCGGGCCCCTCCAAGTCCTGGGCAAGTGGGGTGGAGCCAGGCGGCAGGCTTCTCGCCCTCCGCTCGCCCTCCTCCCACCCCTGCATAGGCCCCGTGCTATGCACTTTGCATATATTTTCTTTTAATCCTCCAATAACCCTATGCGGCCAGTTCTATTATTTGCTCCAGCCTTCCTGGTGTGGAACTCGGGCTCAGAGCTTGCCCAAGGTCACAAAGCCAGGAACTGATGGAGCTGAATGTGAGCCGAGGCTGAAAGCCAGGCCTTTTAACCATGAGTGAGATCAGTTTTTAGCTAAAGGTGCAGAATTAGGCCAGGACACCTTTCCCCCACCCCATGCACCCCCCCCAACACACACACACACACACACACACACACACACACACACACACACACTCCAGGAGTCTCAGCCTCCCAGGCTGCTCAAGAGTCCCACCAGGCACACGTGGACCCTATGTCTTTTCCCCCCTGACTGAGGGTACCTCAGTTCCAACACCCCTAGACCCAGCATCTCTGCAGGAAGAGCCCTGAGGTCCACAACTGCCAGGCATGGGCAGGGATCCCAGCCCAAAGCTGGGCTCTCCCCTCCTACCCAGGCTGTGGGCTGGGGCCCCCATGCCAGCTGTGGCTTCTGGAGTCCCTCCTGGGGTCAATGCCAGGCTGGAAGTGAGCATCAGCTGTGCCCTCTACCACACACTCTGGGCCCTTTGGGAGCAAGGAGGCAGATCTGCCAGGGAGGATCAGGAGGGGAGTGGAGTGGAGGTGCAGGGGAGGGGACTGCCTCTGAGCAGGGGGAGGGGCTGCTGTGCTCTGTGCATTAAGCGATCAGAGAGCACAATATTTCATTGCCGGCAATCGCAGCCAAGACATCAACTACTTGGGGAGAGCAGCCTTAAAAGCCTTTTGATTTTATTTCTTCCACTTCATTTTTTTTTTTTTTCCTTTCCTTGCTGGTGTCCTTGACAATGCCTCCCTTCCCCCTCTGCTGCCCCTTCCTCAAAGCCCCGTAGGAGGCCCAGGAGCCTGAGTAAAGGCGGAGGCCAGGGGCCAAGGGCCTGGGGGCCTGCAGGCGTGCATGTGGGGACACGTGTGTGCACACGTGTGGCTGAGATACTACTGTGGCTCCCTGTGTCCCTATGTGTGCAACCTGGGCGCCACTGTGTGCCTGTCTGGAAGCATGCTCCACGGGCATATACCTGTGTGTCCAAGTAGGCCCCGTGTGCACATATGTGTGCGTGCCTGGGTGTGTACGAGCACGCATGGACCTCACTGTGCACGCCCTCACCAGAAAGCTCCACCAAGGTAAGAGACGTGGGGGGCAGGGCCAGGGGAGGGTGGCAGATTCAGAGGGCAGAGAGGACAAGGGCGGGGAGGAGGGATGGAGGGGTCGCACTTAGGAGTCAGCCCAGCTGGGCCGAACCGTGGACCCAGCGGAGACCTCTCAGGCCCAGGGCGTCCCCCAGAGGAGTGGCGCGTGAAGACACAGGTGCGCACACCGCGGGCGCCAGCAGGCACTCACTGCAGAGGCCGGAGGGGGCCGGGTCGCCGCGGGACTCCTGGCCGGGCGCCCATGACGTCAGCGGCCGTCCGTGACGTCACCGCCCCGCCCCCGCCCGCCGGGAGCTCCATCTCCGCCCAATGGCAGGCGGCGGGGAATCGCACATCTGTCTTGTCGGGAATTAGTTAATTGAATCAAGCGGCCCGAGCTGCCGCAGCGACCTCGGCCCTGGCCCAGAAGGAGGCTGAAATGCCGGCAGGGGGAGGCGGGGAAGGCTCAGCCTGGAGGCCGGCGTGGGGGAGGGGACCTACCTAGACTGGAGCGTGGAGACCGAGCTCCCTCGGGAATATGGGTCAACGTCCGGCTCAGCCCCTGCCCCAACCCAGCGAAGACCGGGACCGAGGGCCTGGCGCCAGCCGGTGGAGCTGGCAGGCTGGGTGCGGCCCGGGCCTCGGGGCACAGGGCGGAGGGGTCTCTCCCTCCCCCAGGCCGCCCCTGGCCCGCCGCCCTCGGGCCCGCAGGCTCCCCCTCTCCGGGCACCGGCCCCTCGGGCTTGGCCCCTCCCTTCTAGCCTCGCCTCCGCCCACCGGTGCCGAGAAACGCTGCAAATTCCCGTGCCCGGGGCGCACGGTCTCCCCACCCCCGCCCTCCCCGGAGCGCGTTCCGGGGCATCTCGGGATGAGCCGCCGCCGGGCCATTTGTCCCTTCAAGCGCCAGGGAGATTTCCTCCCGCTCCGAGCTCCATCCTGTCCCCCTGGCCCTGTGTCCCCTCGGGGGAGGGGGGAGGCCTCCGGGGACCTGTTCCGAGGTCTCCCTCCCTCCCTCTCCGCACACCTCCACCCTTAGTCACCCTCCCTCTCTCACTCGTCCCTTCGATGTGTCGATGTGTCAAGAACCTGGCGCTCAGAGTCGGGGCTCCAGCCCCAGCCCTGCGTCTCGTGAGTCTCTTGCCAGACTTGAGCACAGAACCTCTCTGAGCCCAGTTTCCACAACTGACACTGGGCAACAATAAAATGAACCTAGCTCGTTGGGTAAAATTAAACAAATGCAAAAGGCATGGGACATATCTGGTTCTGGTAGCCAGTGCATTGTTGTTTTGTAAGCGGAGGAGGCAGAACTATCACGAAGGGGTGGCGTCTCTGGAAGAGTCTC